GGGGGGGCGTCCGTCCGTCCGTACTGCCGCGGGAAGCGGGCGCCGGGAGGGGCGGGTTACGGGAACGGGGTCGTAAGGGAGTTCGGATGTCCCGGGATTTTTGACCTGCACGTGTCTGCTAAAAGTAGCCGCGGAGAGCGGGGGGCGCGCACCGTTTCAGTGACGGCGCGATCGTAACGCAGCGGTTTGGCTGCTCCGTGCGCTCGCATTTGTGCGTTTTTCGTTCTAGGCTGGCTCCGGGCCCGTGTAGCCGGCTGTAGGCTAGTGTCGGGGGGGAAGTGGGAACGCGAGGCCTCTCTACGTGGTCTGTTTCACGTGGAGATTTCTGAAATAACGTACCAGCCGTAGGAGCGCAGTGTTTTGTCGCGTATTACCTGCCTATACCGATGGTTGGAAGGAAGCATGAAGGGATAGGAAATTCTTTCCGATTCACTGTTTAGCCCATGTCAGATGACTTTATCTTAAGGAATAAGCGTCTGACTGACTGTTATACTCATCAGGTAGTCTTTGTGACTGTCTTTGTGGGGGAAAAAAAAATGTTGAACCATGTCCTTGGTTCCTTCTGCATTTGTCCTTCATATAACATAACAGTCCATTCATGCCAACGCATGTGCACATACCTGTTGGGTGAAAATGTTGATTTTTCCGGTAGATTTGCCATCGGTGCTACAATCCTACTCATGCCAAGACACACAAACTTTTAGGCGTAAGGATTGTCTCTATTCAGATTAGTGGAACTGCTCATGGCTAACTCCGCGTGTGCGCTTAAGTGTTGAAATGGAGCGGGATTTTATGGATGTGAAAACACATTTAGATGATCTGTACGCCTGGCACATTAATCATTTGGTAAGGTGATGGTGGTAGGGTGAGAAAAATCAGGTTTTTATTATTAAATTAAATTACTTGGTAGCAGGTTTTTTGGGGTTTTTTTTTGTTTGTTTTTTAAAGAAGCATTGTACTACTAGAAAGATGTAAATTAGACTAAATTAAACAAGACTTTAAAAGTAGCAAAGACATTCATTGTCCACATCCATCCCGGTGATGAAACTGATGATTCATTCTCCTGTCAGAAAAAATATTACTTGCCTCTGGCAAATGATTAAGTAGCGTTTTGCAAGCCTGCCTAAGGCTGTGTTTATAAGGGTTGCAAAGCAGTGAGCCATTGGCAATAGGTAGGCAAGACTAGGCAAGTTTAGGATGTGAACACCTTCAACTTTTGTCCTTTTCAAAGATGCTTCAGCTGAAAGGTACAAACCTGACAGGCATGCAGAATGACATCTTTTCCTTAATCAAAGCTGGACTTGGTAAGTGCTGTATCTGTTTGCCAGCCACGTGGTAAATGAACCGGTTATCTCAAAATGAGATGTCAGCAGTTAAAAATCTGAGGTTCTTTGTATGTGCAGCCAGGGAGCTCATTCTGCTCTGTACATTCAGTCATCCGATCTGCATCATGTTCCTAGTGATGTCCACCCTTGTGAAGGACTGACCCAGAGGGATGAGAGTTTCTCTGGAATATGCATGAATTTCTGATGTGAGTGCAGAATTTTAGTGTTTTGTCTTGAGTTTTAAGTGACTCAAGTGGTTAATCTTCTACCACTTCCTTTGGGAAGTGATTCCCACAGCTGAAAACAAACTGTCTGGAAACTTTTCCTGCTGTTCTTTCTTCCTGATTCATCATTTCAGTCCTCTGCTCTTAACCATCCTCTCTATATCTCTGGTAGCTCTGCAACGATGCAGATTTGAAAAGAGCTCCTTTGTTATAGCAAGAGGCTCGGGAAATAGATAGCATGGGTAGCAGAAAGGCAAGCTCAGGGAGACCGATGCAAACGTGTGTTCTCCATTGCCCTGAATGTAATTCTGTTGCTGCCACTGGTATGAGTGCTCTTCAGTTGTTTGTAAATAGTTGTCATGCCTACCTTTCCACCCCAGTCTTGATTTAGTCAAGTGATGTGATGCGTGTTTGAGCCAGTGGTTCTCCCACCCCTCTGCTACAGGCTTCCTGGCTGTCTGTGGCTCTTGGTAATGCGACCTTCAGAAACGGTTCTGGTTGCAATTGCAACAGGATTGCTGTGAAACAGGGTGTTGAAGTACCACCTCTTGATTGGCACCCTTTTCTTAAGCCATCATCAAAGGCTGTAGTTCAGGAACAGGCTCCATCCCTGCTCCCTTTCCTTCTAGTGGGCAGACACACAGAGTCCCTGCTGTTCTTCTTCTACCTGCGGACCAGGGGCCTGGGCTTCTTCAGTGCAGACCTGCTTGTGGTGCCTGCTGCAGCCTTCTCTCTTGTCTCCATTGCACGTAGGGAGTGACTGGGTGTGCTGCGCCACTTTCTGTTCTCTCTTAGTTGCACCTACCACATGGTGTGGGGTTTGGGGGGGAAAGAGCAGAGCCTGGAGGAAGCTTTGCTGGCAGTCGATACACCTGACTTCTTCCCTGCTCCTTTCCAAATACGTTTTGTACCCCTTCCATGTGAGAGACACTATTATAATCAGAGAGACATTGCAAAAATGAAGTTAAAATAGGCAGGGGTTTTCCTGATCAGTGTTAACTGTGGCAGGCTAGCTAGCTTTAAGGTTGTGTGTGCTTATTCTCTTGAAAGAGACACTGGTTAGATCCAGAAAAGAGGGAATCCAGGCTTGGCAGCAGTGGAGCCTATTCTGCCCTCACTTGCTTTTCTAGAACTTCAAGTGGTTTATTTTTGTCAACTTTTTTTTTTTAAGGATGGCCTATCCCTTTGGCATCCTTTTAATTCTTAGGAGCTGCAGTCAGCCCGAATCCTTGTTGGGAGTTTTGGTTTTTGTTTTTTTTTCTTTTAAGCTTCTTGGGATCTATTGGTAGAGCTCATAAAATAGTTCTTAAAAATGTAATTAAGGCAATATATAGTTAGATTTGATTTGGTTGAGTCATTTAAAAGGACTTGTCAGTCTGTGTACTATTCCCCTATGACTACATTTTTAAGTCACCTACATCATGTGCTCTGTAGGAAATTTTCTGTCTTCCAGCAGTAGAAAACTTGAAGTTAAGTCTGTGTTTTCCAACCTCTCATCTCCCCCCTGTGTTGCCGATTCTACAAATTGTTCCCACTTGCTCTACTCACCTTGCTTTGAAGAAGGCACTTGCTAGTAGTCATGCTCTCATTAGCGCTTTTAACATTGCTGGTTAGACAACTGGAGATTTTACAGGCTTCTGCTCTGGTGTGTGTGTATACATGGGTGCTTTTTAATACAACATGTGCATCTTGGAGCTTTACAGAAAAACAAGTTTTTGGTGTAGGGGAGAGTTAGCTGTTGTTTCTGAAGAGGATGTTTGTTTGTTTTTCAAGAGGGAGTGTCACAGAATCATGAACAGTTTGAACAAATTCTGTGGCTCTGTCTCCTGGGCAGACGCTGGCAATATCTTGGTCTGATTTAAGGCTCCTTTTGTGTCAAAAAATTGAAATTTGTTGGTTAGTTCTAACACTGAATAATGTAATTTATGGTGACTGATACCTTCTCCTTTTTTCTGTGTAGTTCCTCCTTGCTTCGTTCTGTTGTGTATTCTGTTGCCAACTTTTCTGTGAAGGATAATGTTACTTGCCATGCAGTAACTGTGGTGGACCACAGTATTGACCAGTATCTGTCAGTTGTTGCGGTTATGGAGTTTCTTGGGTGGCCTACAAAGTAATTTTTGTGTTTACCCACAAATGGGAAGACAAATTCTACTTTATTTTTGGTTTTGCCTCTTTTTCTTTTTTTTCTCCCCCCCTTATTTGTCCTGTATATGTGTGGCCCAGTAACCTAAACTGTCAAAACTCTTAAGTCAGGATAAATTTATGATGAGACCTTTCTCTCCCACCATGTGGATTAGTAGTGTAAGTACGAGTAAAAAGTACATACAGCTTCATCGTAAAAAACGTTCATGTGCTTTAGCTGTGTTCATGACAGGCTGCATGAGTTTCTAGCCTAACTTAAGACGTGTGTAGGCTTGCTGAATAGCTTGTACTGGGAATGTCACACAGAGAAAATGAAAATTCTGACTTCTGTGAAAGAAGAAAATGAGACACTGGGCACCTCATTATGCATCACTAAGTAATATAGTTGTCTTTTTCAGTGCTAAGGGTGCTCCCTTTAGCAGATTGTTGTTATTAAACATCCTGTATTTTTGTAATAACTGCATTCTTTTACTTTTCTATTACATGAATCAGAGTCGTTAGTGGGCTTCTTAGGCTATTGTACTCTCCTATTAACAGATTGAAGATGTCCACAGTGATGGTAAAGTCACTAACTTAGTACAAAATTTGCACATAACCAAGCATGTAGGAAAAGTAGCCTGATAAGACTATAATATTAACATTTTCTTTTGGGAAAGATGATAGGATTTCTACCTTACCAGCGAACCGCCTTTGGGTGTTGCTGAGTAAAGGCTCTTTAATATATTAGTGACAGTATTTGTCTCTATATTTCTCAATTTCTCTTTACAGTCATCTACAAAAAGGGTTATGCTTTCTGTCTTAAAAGCAGTTTCATGTTCTTTCTCTTCGAACAGCAGCAGCAAAATATCATTAGTATGGTTTTTATTAGCAGGGGAAGTTCTGAGTAACAAAATTGAGGCTGGAATCTTAACTTTGTTGTTGCTAGTAAGAGCTAAGAAGATACTTGTGTTTTTTCATCATCCTTTCATTCTCTCCTTCCACAGGAAAAGTCTTGTTTATCTTCGATAAATTAATGCAGTTCTCACATTCTGCCAACAAATCATTAGTTTTCTGTTTATAGTTGTTTTTCTCTAGACTTCTAACTTGTAAGACCATGTTTAAGTGCAGATTCTTCTTAAAATGCTCATAAACTATAACATACACAATATCTAGCACCAGTATTTTCTCCCCCCAAAAGACCACCATCATATTTGCAGCTCATTTTTTTCTGATTCATGTTTTGTAAAAGATGACTTACGCTTAACTTAGTCCTGGGTTTTACTTAGCTTAGGTCTAACTTCTGGTCTTAGTATATTCTAGTGTATAAGCAGGAAGGAGAGACACTGTTTATATGGACTCTTACTATATTAAGCTATAATATTATACATAGTATACATACTACATACAAGTACTCACATGAAGTTAATTTTCTCTTACAGACCTTTATAGCTGTGCAAGTAAAGGCACTTTTGATGTGGAAGCTGAACGGAAAAAGTGAAAGCTTTCTTCATCTTTTCTCGTCCTTTGTGGTAGAAAAACAATAATTATATGTTGGGCTGAACTGAAACACTGAACTTACCCTCATGCAAAGATAACTGATTTGTGGTTATTTAAAAGAGAAGAAAAATAATTGTATTAGATTAATGTAGAAAGAATTGATATTTCAGTTAGGAAATGGTTATGTTTTAAGTCAAAGGTAGTATCTTGGATATTAATGTGTACTTTTCCCCTGAGATTGTGGTTTTGAAAAACAAACCTGAGAGGGGGAAGTCTGGTTTGGCATAACCTTGACCTTGAAGTAAGTATTGAGATAAGGATGGAGGGGGCTGTTCCCTTTTGCAAAGGAAAATGGAGGATAAGCTGTCGTTCTAGGGTTTGTTAGTTTTCTGTGGTGGAATTGTAGTTTAGTGCATTAAAACAGTGCTAACTTGGGGCATTGGCACCGAGAGTTGTGTTTGCCTCTTGTGCAGCTGGCTGCTACACGAAGCTGTTTGAGTTGTCCTCATCTGCTCTGTGTCTTTGTAGGCTGGCAGGACCCGTGGGGAGTGATCTGTGGCCTTGTGCTACCATAAAGCAGATCACAGGATGCTCTACCAGTGAGTTGTGGGGTAACCTGAGTGTCAGGAGCATATCGGGGACCATAGAAGGCCATGTGAAGGACCTGGCATTCTAGTAG